ATCATAAAGTAAGCACATTCGTAAAATTGTCTTCTCCGTTCTTTCCACGTTTTCTTTATATTTTTTCTTTCTGTTGTACTTATGTCCATGTTTTTACACACTGATCATTTTGACTGATGAAGTTCTATAGCATAGAACGAAACGATACTTATGTTTAAAAAGGTGACTTTAGTCCTATTTCTCTCAACTATTGGAAGAACAGCTGGATGCCCGACTCTATGAACGTGAACCGAATCTTGGTGGAGTATGGCTCTACAAAGAAGCACCCGGTGGCGTCTATCAATCGACACATGTTACGTCATCGAAAACGTTTCTACACGCCTCCGACTTTCCGATGGCCAAAGAGACTCCTCATTTTCCAAAACACGATCAAGTACTTGCTCATTTAAACTCGTATGCCGATCATTTCAACTTAAGGCTTCGCATGCATTTTACGTGTGACGTTCTCAAGATTGAAAAAGATCAAGATGATCAATGGAGGCCTTTTCCAATAAATAGTAACGTAAAAAATGACATTTGATCAGCCGGTCAGGACTTGGTAACACCCTTTAGTCAAATTTCTCTATTTTTTTTCATTTTCTATCGATCTTTATTTTTTATCTGTTATTGTTATCCGACCAGATACATTTATCATCAATTCCAAAAATTCTTCCACAGGTATTTTATCGTTTCAACATCAATCATTCCAATGATTCACGACGAAAATGAGTTTTTTATTTGTTCGTGGTCAACTTCTGGATCAAACCACTGGCGAAGGAAAAATTATTGAAACGACGCGATCGATCGAATGCTATTTTTCTCCATTATACTTATGAACAACGTTTCTCTCATTATGAATAAGAGATCTGGATTCATCAAATCTGGAATGACATCGTTGAACGCACACCAATTGAAACGAACAATCTCATTATTGGCACACAAAACAATCCAAAGTTAACGAGATAATTTATTCGTCGAAACCCATTCAACAAGGAAAAGAAGAAGCGATAAACAGTGAACTAATCAGCAATTGCCTTTTTTTTTTGTCATTTTCAATTTTTTCCTGTTTTCATTTTAAATAACCAGGTTGTACTCTTTTTGAGCAAGCGATCTGTATGTGCTGAATTCTTCGTTAAGCATGCTTTTCGTTCCAATACTTGACGTCTTGACTTTGTTCGATGTCCTTTCCAATTCGCCGGTCGATGATGATTGATCATTAGATTCATCTATCGCACCATCAGATGAATTAACAATGATCTGATCCCGTAGATCTTGCAAATCGTGTTCGATTGACCTTCGGTCTGATCGAACAAGGACGCCATAACCCAGTGGATCAAAGTATGTATGCATTTACGTGATCGAACGGCAATTGTAATTATCATTAGATCCCATAGAACTTCATCAAGTAAAAAATATTTTTTCATTTGTTCCAATAAGAGATGTTACAAACGGAAGATCAGTTGTGGATTTTAGGAGTTAATCATATTTGAATCTTCTAAAAATTCCATGATTTGGACAATGGCGAAGAAACCTATTCCAATTGTTGAATACTGACGACCACTGAGGAGCTTTGTTACTTCGACGAGCGTTTTCAACACGTATGCCATGAACTCAATCATAATCTAATCCGATTTGTCCAACTCGATGGATGATAATTTCTTCGCTTGTGCATTGATGAGTCCGATATCATGTTTGTCACTATCGAGTCGATTGATAATCTTCTTGTATAGAAGCATTGTTTCGAGAAGGCGATAGGAAGAGTTCCAGCGACTCTTGCAGTCTACTCCAAGTGAACGTTCGACCTTGAATTCGTGTTTGAGGAGATCGACGTATGATTTCAAAATTAATGATTTGTTGACCACCTTGATGAGTGAGCGACATTTTCTCATCAGAACACCGATTGTCCCTTGAACTGCGTCGTTATTCGTTGAATCGAAATATAGAAGAACATCTTCAGACCAATTATCAGTGACATAGATGATTTGATTATCATATTCATCCATTGCCACGGACGTATTTTCGATGGAATGATCCTGCCTGCTCGAATCAATGTTTGCTTCATCGTCTTCGATCTTCGAAATTTCTTCTGATTGATCACTACTTCCAAATGACTTGTTTCTACCTGTGAACATTGGAGTTGATTGCTCATCATCCGTTGTCTTGGCTGTTGTCAACGAAGACGACGTGGACTGTTTGCGAATCCATAGACCAAAACTATTGCATACTGACAACTGTAGACGATGAGCAATGCCTAAAAATACTAATTAAGGATGATCGAGAAAATTGTCCTCATGTCTTTACAGTAAATTCTTTACAAATCTGGTGGTAATGTTTCGAAAGCCTTTTTCACATTCGAAGTGCCATCAGTTGTTACGGTTGTTGTTTTCTCATGAATATCCAATTCCTTCAATTTCTCTTGCATGGTTTCCGAAATTCGAGTGACGTAATGGCGATGAGAAAACGACGAAAACGCAATGACTGTTGAAACTAATTCGAAATTCATCGTGATGTAATGACCAGTCAGACAAATATATGAGTATAAACGTCTGTCTGACCAAAAATCGCATGTCATGGCGATCGAACGAACTGTCAATAGTTTCTTCTTCAGTAATTGATGACGTTCACAGTGCAATTTGGTGAGATCATGTTGAATTGTATTTCGACCAGGTGGAATGTATTCTGAAAAGAAATAAAACCGAAATGAAAGGGTTTGGATATGAAATTGCCATTCATCTGCTTGGCGCTAAATGATTAAACACCTTCAAGATACTTGGACGACTTAAATCACCAAAACTTCGACCGCCTTGTACGATACATTTAAGAATTTATGCATCAAGCTTCTTCTTTTCATCGAGAGGTAACTGATGAGGTTTTCGATTTTTTTTGTCGGAGAAAATGGGTGGAGATTTACTCTTGTGAATAGCAGTCAAATGTTTTCGTACCAGTAGTGCCACTGTTCTTTCTGCTCAACAGCATACCACAAATACTGCATACTACTTTATCATTACCTCTTTTGGTCACACAACAACGAATATTCTTTCGTCACCTTTTTGCAAGCAATTTTGATACGATACCATACCAACCGATAGATTGTATCGAGGGAAGATCATTGCCGTTTGTAAGTACATTTTTACAGCTGTCCAAAGTTTTCACTCTGTTGTCATTCATATAGCACCTGGAAGTCGGTCAAAAATCATGCGATACGTGATCGAAACGATGTTCGTTGCCCAAAGTGAAATTGAACCGAACATGATCTAACCGCTTAGTATCGATCCAGATCGCTTCTCAACGATAACTTCTTGATTCTCAACACCCTCTTCCAGTGAAAAGGTTGTGGTATTTCTAAACCTTTCCTGATAAAAATTGAACGCAGCATTATTTCCACTTATGTCTTTCTGATCATTAGAATAGAATAATTCTTAGTTGCTCGTCTAAGCCATCTGATGAGTCCCTTCAGCAACGACGAAACTGGTCATGATTGCTCGATTCACATACCCTCACCCTACTCACACCTCTTGTGAATAGAAGTCTTTGGTTTTGTTTTGAAATTTGCTTTTGAAATAGAGATTGACTTCTATGATGACTTGTTCATTGTAGACTTAGTAATTCTATTCTCAGAGCAGTTTTGATTTATGCAAAAGTAGTCTGATTATTGTATCTATCACTATAGTTCGATGTCTTTTAGAACTACACATAGATATTATATGGAAATATCACCTGACGAAGTCCCGGCAAGGCAGAAACAACTGTTGTCGTGTTACGGCCATATCTACTCACAGCCTCATCCTGATTATGAAGATGATCGTACTTAATCAAACATTATTCGAATCAACTTCTCGTTTTCGTTTCCTTTTGTCAATCATTGTTCAGATCTTTCTGTTGTTGTTTTTTAGTTTCATTGATAATAAAACATAGAAAGATTGCTGCATTTTACTTTATTTTCTTTGATTAGTTGGTCGTCTCATCAACATCAAGAAAAAAGGTTTTTAGCGATGAATTGGTTGTTCACTGATGTGCTTTTGATGAGATCAAATTCACAGACATGGAGATGGACAGATTATCATGATTGGTATACATGAGATATGATATTTACTGACAACATAGGATCTATATAGAACGTGAATCGACTTGTTAGGTTGAACAATAATGATAAAGAAGGATTATTATTTTTAGTGCATCTTTTTACTTATTTTTTCCTCTCATATGTTTTCGTTTTTGGTCATTGAACATACCCTCGATCAGAATCGATCATACAAAGATTGTATTATCGCTCCGGATATTGACACAGATATCGATGATCATCTTTTTTATTGTCTTCGACGAGACGATTTATTCGGTGAATCTCCTTCAAATCGTTGTTATGCTGATGTTCAAATCACATTCAAAGAATTATCTGCATCAAATATCAGCACTTGTGATTTATTACAGTGGCATGTTCCGGTCGATCTTGCCGATTTCTATGGTGCAATTCTATCAAATGATTCTGACAACGATAGTACGCTATTCATTTGTAATTGCTCTTCGGCAAATATCTTCGGTCGTGATTGCCAATATGCATTTGAAAAAGGAATCCATAAATAGAAGACTGATTGAGTCCAGTATCAAAGAAAGGAATACACATTATCCAAAAGAACGATTACTCTCTTGTTACACAGTTGGAAATCACAGTGAACGGTGTTTAGATTATCGCGATATATGCGACGGAGAATTTGATACAATAAATGGTGAAGATGAATTCTATTGTGATCAAATCGAAACCAATATTTGTGCTAACAATCAATTCCGTTGTTGGAATGGCCTTTGTATTGATCATCAATTTCTTTTCGATGGTCAAGGTGATTGTACCGATTTGAGTGATGAACAGAATTTACTAATTCATCATAAACATGTTAATTTCCAAGCATGCTATAAACAAGCCAGTTTCGATTGTGATGAACATTGGTGTGGACGTAAAATGATTTCCTGTGGCGATGGTGAATGTATTCCATGGTCACAACGTTTCTGGAATGAATATGATTGTCATAATTATTATACACATTAGAAGAACGATATAGCAGAAGTATTTATTTTTCCGTCACGGACAGTTCTGGTCGATGTGCATCAGATATAGCTGAGTTTAATCATACTGCCGATAGATGCATCTTAATAATTAAACGTATGGGAAGTTTTCATCGGACATGTGAATCACTTCAGATGCTTTTTAATGAGAGAAAATCCGCTGCGGAAAATGCTTATCGTCTGTGTAAAAACTATACATTGATTGATTATGCATCCAATATCGTATTTTTATCGCCATTTGTTCGTGCGTATTACATACCTGAGCAATTTAACGTAAATGGCCATTTGGATCTTTTTATCGAGATGAAAATGAAACAACCTCGTCTATTCTGTTTAGTAGGAGAATATATTTGCAAAGGTGTTCGTGCTATTCAGAATGGTTCGATATGTATTGAATATGATGATATATTTGAGAAAAGTTATCCATTTCCTCCGTATGAATATTTCTTTTGTCGATTGGAAAATAGTTCGGATGATTATTGTACGAATACTAGTTTTTACTATCGTTGTCGGACAACAGGTGAATGTATTTCTAAACATCGTTTATTCGATGGATTTGTCGATAGTTTGGATTCTTCTGATGAAGAAGATCTAGAAGCATTGAATTCACTCGATCGAATATTTATGAAAGATCGATATAATTGTACTATTGATGGTCGTCAAGCTAAAGCGGTAATGCGTCATTTTCTTGGTATGTTTTGATTTAGATTAATTTGAAAATGATCGCTTATCCTAGGTGATGGAATCAATCAATGTCCGGATGGAAGTGATGAAATGAGTCTTTCAGTCAATTGGCAACAATACCAGTGCTTCAAGCCAAATGATTTAGCATGTCTTTAGTTACGAGATTTATATAATACCAAGAAAGAAGAAAAACAATCGATTCAGATACTTAAATTTTCAAGTTTATGTGATTCAATGTGGGATTTGAGAAATGGTATAGATGAAGTTGATTGTCATGAATGGGTCTGTGAACCAGGTTGGATCAAGCAACACAATAATCAAAGCCGATGGAGTGGAAATTGCATTAGTTCATCATGGATATATAATAAAATATGGGATTATCCAAATGGACATGATGAAAACTATTGCAATGATATCAAAAATATCCTATACCGCATTGTTTGTTATTAAAAACGGGCGAAATTATTCTTTTAAATGAAAGTAATACCATCGCTGGAAATGGTCATATTGATTGTTCGGGTGTGATTGATGAACGTATGCCATTTGCATGTAACGATGGATTTCCCTTAAACGAACGTTTTCTTTGTAATGACAAAAAGACATGTTTAAAACCGATGCAATTATGTAATCATGTGTACGATTGCTTCGATGGTGAAGATGAAAGTGAATATTGGTGTGGAAAAAGACCTCCAATTAATTCCAGTATTTGTAAAGAGAAAACCTGTGCTTGTCAAGAACAAGATGATTCAGGCCCATGTATACCGCAAGCAGATTGCTGTCATGCTAAGCGAGAATCTTGTCGTCATTCTCATCGAGATGATCATATGTGTATACATCCACGCAAATATAATCAGTTTCTCTTCGGAGAAAAATACATTCCATTCTCACCCACTGAACCAATTAACTCGACGGACGTACCTCCTTGGTACTGCGATCGTGGTTTGAAGGTGTATCGTTATAGAAAGCCAACGTGTCTTTGCCCTCCAAGTTTTTATGGTCATCGATGTGAGAAACATAGTCATCGACTAACTGCGGTGTTTACTTTGAATATTGAACTAATCAAAGCAGATCTGATACGCATTCATGTGAGATTAAATAATCATCATGAGACAATTGATCACATACTTTTAACACAACATCCATCCTATACAGGTAAACATCGTCTCTATTTAAACTATCCTCGTTCTCAATATTCGGATCTTCGACGAGCATCAAGTAACTATACGTACAATTTCGAATATATACTATTATTAATCCTCCGGATTTTTGTCACCATCAGGGTGTTTGTATTTCTTACATTATACTCAATTTCAATATATCTGTTCTGATAACCATTTTGGCGACTATTGTCAGTATAAAAAAGCTCCGGTATCGTTAGATCTACGCAATGAAACAACTTCATCATCGTTCGTACGTATTGTTCAATTGATCAGTTACGATCTGGTGAAAATGCAACTTCATATTCAACGACAACACTTATTGTCAACAAGTTCCGGAAGTATATTTTACAACGATTTACAATTACGTCCGATTGGCTTGTTGAAAGAATATGAACTATCATCTTCCAATATCTATTTATCATATTTTGGTCAGAATTATTCGAACATTTCTTTGCATGAACGAAATAAAACTAAGTGTGCACATGCAAAAGAATTTAATTTAATTCCAAAGAGTTATTCTCATGAGGATCTATTACTTACTATGAAACGTTATCATCGTCCCTGTCAAGAATTACACGAGAGAAAAACTGTCTGTTTCTATGATCCTCACATGTACTTTTGTTTTTTCTATTCAATTGACAGCTATTACTAGTCACTTGACATTAACATGTTTACTTCTCCAAATAATTTATATTATTCTGAATCAATATAATCTTCTTAATGAATCTTATTTTAATCGATTTCTCTGTAAATCTACATCTTACTTATTAACCCTTTGGGGACGGGTGACGTTTTAAAACGTCATTAAAACGTCAAAAATCGGAATAAGTCGTGTTTTCCAAAACTTTCTTTTGAAGAAACGTCTCTCAAAACTAGATCATAATCAAATTT